AAATGAAAAGTGTTGGTGACAAATCAAAATTTTTGATGGATTCTTAAACGGTCTAACTGAAACGTTAACTTTGAATCTTATTTAGTTCAATTTTGAATCTAAAAGTTCTTACGTCTTTACTTTCACGTTATAAATAGTAGTTTTACGTTCTCGTTTTATTGCTTCGAGAATCTAATGAGGAAGCTTAGCAGGCCCCAAAAAAACTATGAATATCAAATTAACTGCTTTCTTCCAAATCTGTTCAGTTCACAACTATTTAGAAAAACCGAGTAGAATTCAAGCATTCTACTATTTTAAATATGAGGCATTCTATCATTTCTGCAGTTTTATGAATATATTTTTTCGTATTTTTCACCTTCCGTTGATAAATATTTACTTTCGTTTTCCGTCTTACTTAATTTACCATTTTCTTCCTATTCTGGACATTTACCAAATTACACAAACATCCCCTTTATCGCAAATAATCACAAATTAGAAACTAATACAGCATCAGATATAAAATACCTTGGAATATTCCTGGATCCACACTTGCGTTGGGATGTTGATATAATTATCATTAATTTAAAAAAAAGATATGTGTCGTAAAAATTAAATACAACATAAACATTTTAAAAGAAAAATATCTCTATATCTTGATCGAGCCACATTTAACCTACGGTATATCGGCATGGGGAGTTACATGCTCAATGCAGATTTATGATTTGGATATTTTTCAATAAATGGTTCTAACAATGTTTAACAGACCAAAATTAAATCCAACTCATATATATATACAGAGTGTTTCAGTTTATTGTTGCATAACTTTAAGATTCGATAGAACTTTTAAAATTAATGCATAAAGTCTATATAAACATGGGTCGAAAAATGCGTGGCTTCCGAAATACAGGGTGTTTAAATTTACTTTCTAAAATAGTTTTTTTTAAATATTTCGAACAATATTTGATGTATAACAGTAAAAATTGGTATACAAGGGTTTTTTGGTACGACAAAACGAACCATGGGCATAGTTTTACTGTAGCCGAAAAAATTTTCTTAGTGCAATTTTTTGCTTTTTGAATAAACAAACTGATTTTTCGCACTTTCCAACATAAAAAGCTATCTTGTGAATTTTAGTTATAGTTAGCCGTTTTTGAGATATTTCGATTTTTAAGGTTCGATGCATTTTTAATTATTTATGATAAAATAACGTTAAAAAGTCAGCGTCTCGATAATTTTAGAAGTAGGCTGTGCCTGCAAATATTTTTGAAATTGAAAGCAGAATAAGGTTGAACGTCAATTAGTTGACAGTTAGTTTTGTTGTCTGTTGAAACCTGAAACGTTTTTTTTCAATTGTGAATGCACGAAATTTAGTTTCTTTTACCTGTTTTTTTGTAAGTTTTATAAAAATGCCATTTTTATTCTCCAATCAAGAGTTAGCGGATATTCATTTGTGTATGGCTTTATAAATGGAAACGCAGCAGAAGCAGCCAGAGAATACGCACGAAGATTTCCAAACAGACGACATCCAACTCGCTCAGTATTTGCAAGAGTGCATCGCCAAACAATTGAAAATGGTTTTGGAAATCTCCAAAAGGATCCAAACATAAATGTTCGTCAGCGCAGATTTACCCGTATGATTCTGCGTGAGTTTGATAGAGATCCGACCAAGTGTTAGGAGAGTGTCTGGTGCCTTGGGAATTTCAGCAAGCCATGTTCACCGTGTTCTTAGAAATGACCATAGACGTCCTTACCATTTGCAACCTGTGCAAGGACTACAGTCAGGGAACGGAGAACGAAGAATCACATTTTGTCAGTGGATTCTTGATAGAACTGATAATAATAGGGAGTTTTTAAGTAACGTTTTATGGACCGATGAGTCATGCTTCACTAGACGTGGAGTGGTAAATTTTCATAATCAACATATTTGGTCGCATGAAAATACGCATGCAGTTCGGGAAAGAAATTTTCAGCATGAATTTAGTGTGAACTTGTGGATTGGTATCTACCGTAATCGACTATTTGGACCCTACCTTTTGCCTGCAAGGTTAAATGCTGCGAGCTTCTTGGAATTTTTAAAGGCTGAACATGCAAATATGTGGAATGATATGTTAGATTTAAGAAGATTGGCCTGGTTCTAGCTTGGTGGTTGTCCAGCTCATTATTCGAGAATAGCTAGAAACTGGCTGGACGAAAATTATCCAGAAAGATGGATCGGCCGTGGAGGACCAGTCGCCACGATCCCCTGACCTAAATCCATTAGATTTCTTTGTGTGGGGATTTCTAAAAGAAAAAGTGTATCAGACTCCCGTAACCACAAGAGATATGCTAATAGACAGAATCAGGAATGCATGTCATGAAATAAGGCCTTATTTGAATAATGCTATACCACGTTCGATCATTCGTAGATGTGATTTGTGTATTGAACAATTGGGTTTACATTTCGAGCAACTACTTTAGATTTGTATTGTATGTTTGTCCTAACTATCCAATAGCATTTTAGTTGTAAATAATTAATTTAATTTGTTAAAAATAATATTGGAAAATTAAACAAATTAATATTCTGTTTTTTTGTGTTTATTTGGAGTTAGGAATTATTGCTGTGTTTAAAAACACAATCTAAACGATCATCTTAATTACTTGTAATGCCCGAATCGAAAATGTAAAAAAAATATTATTTTCCCATAAATAATTAAAAATGCATCGAACCTTAAAAATCGAAATATTTCAAAAACGGCTAACTATAACGAAAACTCACAGAAGAGCTTTTTTATGTTGAAAAGTGCGAAGAATCAGTTTTTTTATTCAAAAAGCAAAAAATTGCACTAAGAAAATTTCGGTCATTTTAATACACTACAGGTACAGTAGAGAGCGCCCTCTAGCGGCTACAGTAAAACTATGCCCATGGTTCATTTTGTCGTACCAAAAAACCCTTGTAAAATATTTAAAAAAAACTATTTTAGAAAGTAAATTTAAACACCCTGTATTTCGGAAGCCAAGCATTTTTCGACTCATGTTTATATAGTCTTTATGCATTAATTTTAAAAGTTCTATCGAATCTTAAAGTTATGCAACAATAAACTGAAACACCCTGTATACAAATATAAACACGTACATGACTTACATGCTATCACCAACTATCACTTTATTAATAACGACTGAAAAATTAAACACAATCACCACTCAAGGCATAAACTAAGAGGAACAGTTGTATCTATAACACAACGATCATACCTTTATTTAGGACCAAAATTGTAAGTAAATTTACCTGACGATATAAAGGGTCTAGGCTTTGGGAATAATTAAAAAAAAACATCCCAAATGTGCACAAATTAATAGCAAATTTAAACATCAAATGATTCACTGATCAGTCGTATCTTTATTCATATTTCAATACTATGCACAGTTGCAACATTAATGGTCCATGTACAGGCCAATGCCTCCTATCGACCCTTGTTTCAGATTTATTTACTCATTTTTTATATTGCATTTCAGGAGTAAATAAATATTATCATTATTGACAATAAACTGAGCGATTCACATTCCAACACAGATAATAATTCTGCACTGCTAATCGTGAGTACACCCTGTACGATTGGCTACTTGAATACCTGTTCACAGAAAAAAAATTACACCAGTTGGTCGTCAAAATTAAATACTTCGGTTTAATACTAGACAAAAATTAAAAATGGAATGCACATACAAAGGTCCAAGTGAAAAGACTAAAATTTCTTACCCCAAAATTCAAGTATTTTCGTGATTTTTTGAACAAAGATTAACTATATATTCGCTACCACGCTCTTGTCTATCCTATTCTATCATATGGTAGATTAGCATGGGGAGGAATCGTGAATAATTACTATAAAGAGATTGAAATCGTATAGAAATAGATACTAAAACTGATCCTTCAGAAGGAGATTACACATCCAACCGATAATCTTTACTTAGAAGCTCAACTCCCAGACGTCTATTTTTACAATGGATTCATGTACCACATTAAAAATAAGATGCATCTAAATTCTATCAGTCACAACTATCAAACAAAGTTTAAACAAAATTCAGTACCTGTGCGAAAATCTACAGTAACTATCGGTCAAAGATCTCTTCTCTTTTTAGGCCCAAAAATGTTTCAATCATATTCAGGCATCAATAAGGATTATTAAAACAACAAAAGGTTTGAAAAATCAAGTCATGGATTATACAGGAGCCAAGGAACTAGATCCACAAATGTATAGCCATTAAAAATTATTATTAAACTTCAAGCAACTTATGTACATCATGGGTGTAGTTATGTTTGGACTGCATTTTAGGAGAAATATTCTAAGGACAACCAATTTTATATAAAACATTGTTTGAATAATTTAACCGAATCACACCTAAAAAAATATAAATGTATGTACAGTTAGCTACATTGTTATACAAGCATCATTTAGCGTTGATGTAGTTACCCATTTGTACTCGTATTTTTTCTTTTTTCATTCTGACGTGAACCCAAGCGCAAGTTCAAACTTTTTTGGATATATTATGTTTATTGAAGTATAACGATTTTATGTACGTTATTCCAATAAACATTATCACTATAAATTGGCTTGTCACTTTGGTATGCAATGTTAGACAAGTGAGCCATAAGTATGCACTTGAGCTACACAATTTTGGCGACAAACAGTGCAATCTAAACATATAGGCTTGATTCTTAACCTATTCGAATTCGTTGGAAAGGTCCGACAGAAGTTCAATTGTTTCGCCGAAGCCGATGTTTGGCTTTCAACACAATTGTTAAATAATCATAAACGTGGCCTTCCTTTTATGTCTTTCAAATATTCCTAAATTTGCTGACCAAGGTTATGTGCATTTTTTCCTTTCGTTTTTGGCCAAACGCCGAAAGTGTGGCCGAAGTGTATTTTTTGGACGATTGTTCCTGATGGAGGCTAATCCTAAGTAGCTCGTTACATGTTTTCAGCCCACATAGGTGATTAAACATAAAGGTGTACGATAAGCTTTGATTAACATTTTTTACAGGATAGTACGGAAATGAGCTTCAGCAATAATATTTCTATACAAAGCGATACAGGTTCCATAAAGAATGGGAAAATTGAGGAACACTTAGATGATTACCCTTGTAGTACAAATCCCGAGAAGATTATGTGTGTTTTAGATGAAGACACGTATTCAGCTGTTCACAAAGGTGAGTTCAGATATTTAAATAAACACTTATGTCATTTATAACGATTTACTTTTTTTGGGGGAGTTGCCGAGTTTTGCCACAACTCAGGTAGGCGGTTTACTAATGGTCGGGATCTGCCACAAATACCTATTGAAATTAGGCGTTTAGATACATTCACAACTCTACTCTTTCACTCATTTTGAAACTGATTTGCTGATCTTATTTTTATCTAACTTTCTCTAGGGGAAGAGCAAGGTTTAGAAATTCAGTAATCCTTATTTGTTTCGTGACTATAGCTATAATAACATCTACTATCTATACTAAGTGACATATAAATCCGAACACCCAGTTTAAATGGTACTTAATGAAGCATAATAAGTAAATGATAAAAATTTCAAAATGATTGCACTGCTTTAAAGCCCTTTGACCTTTAATAATATGTGGATGCACCCTGATGTGCTACGCATTCTCCAACGCGCCTAGGCATGCTTCTGATCAGGTGGTCAATGTCCTCCTGTGGTATCTCATTCCAGGCAACCACCAACTCCTCTCGAAGTGCTTCTAGAGTCTGAGGAGGACATTGCAAATTGAGCAATCTCCTACCCATCATATCCCACACGTGTTCAATTGGGGATAAGTCGGGAGATCTTGGTGGCCATGGTAACAATGTGACATCATTATGTTGAAAGAAGTCTATTGTGACTCTTGCAACATGTGGTCGGGCATTATCTTGTTGGAAAGTTGGATCTGCCAGGGTGTCAAGATAGGGTAAAAGATGGGGTTCTAGAGCTTCGTGGATATAACGCTGCGCGTTCATGTTACCTCTGATGAAGATTAAAGGTGACCTGGAACCATAAGCTATAGCATCCCAAACCATAACTTCAACAGTGTGATGAACATGTCTTTCAACAAAAAACTGTGGATTCCTCCTTTCACCACGTCCCGTTCTAACCCTGGCACGACCATCGTGCATGCCAAAATCGAGACTCGCCACTAAAGACAATACTGTTCCATTCCTGATTCCAGAGTGACCGTTGTCTGCACCACTCAAGGCGATTACGTCGGTGTTCTCGAGTTGAAGGGAGGACCCAGTGTGGCCGGTATGAAAACAAGCCAAAACTTCTCATTCGTCGGTAAACACATCGCATGCCAATAGGTCTTCCGTGTTCTGCAATCCATTCATTTGCAATGGACCTGGTAGTGGAGAAACGGTGCCTTAAGGCCAATAATCTTAGGCGGCGAGCTTCACGGTCTGTTGTTCTACGGCGGCGATCTTCACGGTCTGTTGTTCTACGGCGGCGTCCAGTGCCCCTTGCTCTTTGCGTACGGCCTTCTCGGATCCATGCCTGACAACACCTAACCACAGTGTCTACACTTCTTTGCACTCTAACTGCAATTGCCCGAAAAGAAAGTCCAGCTTCCCGAAGTCCCACTATACGGCCCCTATCAAACTCACTAAGTTGACGAAATCGTACAGGTCTCCGTACTCTAGGCATCGTAACCGATCGTAAAGGATGTCAAGAACCAAAATCCGCCAACGTTGATTCTTTACTGCGGCTGAAATATTCATTTTTAGAGCGTTAGTGAATTAAAAAAAAGCAATATAAAAACCGGAATGTCCAACTGATAAGGCTGAAAATTTTTTCACTTGTTATTTACAGTAAGATAAATACATTCACCAACTTTCATTAAAATAAAACCATTTAAACTGGGTGTTCGGATTTATATGTCACTTAGTATATTTGCCTATCATGAATTTTATAAAATCCATATTTTTATCGTGATGCAGCTACAGACTACATTTTTGGAAGTTGAACACATAGAAAATGTGAAATTTAGATTTATATGAATAAAAATACTACTCAACCTACTTATCTCGCATCCTTCTTCTTCCATTTGATGTCTGTACAACCTTGTTGGGCACCCACGATTGCAACATTACATTTAGTTATTTGCATTACACAAAACTGGTAACAGTTAACAACTTACATTTTTCGCTGTCTATAACTTTGGTTACATAAAATATAGTAAAAGGTCCAATAACGTATGACCTTCTAGATAATTAATGTAAGTTAGTTAAGTTGGATATGTTGTAAGGATTTTTATATGCATTTTATCTGCTCCGGTAATCGATATCTTTGAAGACGGTAAAGTTTTTCTTTCTTTGTGGCATAATTTGGATAAGCCCCTCTATTTTAACTTATTTTAAAGTTTTATACGTTCCTATCACATTTTCAAAATAATTGTCTCAAATCCCTTTACAGCAGACTTCGCCACAGTCTTCAAAAGCGGTCTGATGTACAAAGGCATCTACTGGCCCAGTTTAACAAACAGCTTCCACTGCAAGCACCTAGAATTGGCGTATCTAAGATACAGTCATAGACAAAGACAGAAGGCGTTAATTATCGTCAACATTGTGGATCTACTGTTGAAGGTAAGCTTACATTCTCACATATACACACCTTAAGGCGGAAACACATTATCGCTCACGAGATGTCACGCCTACTCAGTATCAAAATTAAAATTTTTGAATATATAGAATCATTTGGGTGCTTAGCTTGAAGATGTTCATGAACAAGTACATGTCTAAATCGATAATCCACCATTGCGTAAGTGGTGGTATACGTATCGTGTGTTTATGGCTCATATTTGAGTCTCATAATTCTAAGACCGCTAAAATAACTTCACCAGGATTGTCAAATCAACAGTCCGTTATTCTCCACCTATAGGGTAACAGTCCGTCAAATACAGCGAATGAGCTTCAAGTTCCAATCAACAAATTTTAGCAACCAATAGCTATGAAATGTTGAAAATCAAATACTGTCAAATTATGAGATGACAGATTGTCATTGAAATATCACCAGCTTATTGAATATTAAGAAATTACATACAATTTACTACTACTACGCTTTATAAGACTATACGTGGAATTTTTTAATAAAAGATGATGAATCAGTTGGAATACGTTTTATATCTTTTTTTTGCAAAATAACAAAAATCGGTACATTTCTACAGATACGTATTATGTACAACGCCCTGTAAATGATATACAGACAAAACTAGATTGCCATGCATGAACAGTCGTTAAAAACAGTGAAAACATCCTACTAAATATAATAGCTAGAAAATCGACCTATTATTTCTCTCATTCTCATTGGTCCATTTAAATAACTGACCATCTTTTCTGAAATGATAAAAATTTGAAATTCTATGAATGTTATCCTAAATGTAAAGCACAAAGACATAATATTACATCTATAATGTACCCTTTTATAACTCAACCGTTTTTTTTTTCACGACTTTATTCAACATTTCAATAGAAATCACTGATATTCAGAGAGCTTTGACAGCTTCCGTCAAATTGCATTTCGATAAGGTCTTTTCCTATTGGTCCAACTGACCGTCAAATATTAATGTTGGTGAAGCTAGCCCTTAGGACATTTATTAGGGAACGCGAAAACTTTGTACTGACCACAAAATAAACAAATTAGAGTTATTATACGCATATATTGGTAGATGGTACATGATGTTTGAGATTTTGTTCGCGAGAAAATCTGACTTCAATAGTTGTTTGAAAACTGAGATTTTTCTTTGGATTTTGTTATAGATTTAAATAACAGCCAACACGTCACAGCAAAATCCACTAACAACCTTCAACTTTCGAATTCCTCTTATTTCGCCCTTTAAAAAAAGAACAATAAATATACGCCGTACTATACAAGACAATGAGAAAGCGAAAAATGACATATATACTGCCTTTCGTGAAATGGAAGAACTTGGAGGCGATAGTGACCATAACGCTGAAGAATATGTTTACTAGACAAAGCGCTTTCACACTCTTAGGAAACATTTCAGTTAACACCGGAACTGGGATTGTTCTACACTCCGAAGACTAACTAGCTTGACAGCAAAAAATAAGTCATAATATAACACCCAAAAAACATATCTAATTTTCGAAATTTTTCGCAATTTCAATGCTTCCTGACCAATGGCGTAGGAAGAAAAGTAATAAATGCAGAGTAGTTTCCAAAAAAGGTCGACTCTTTGGATTAATTTATCCTCTGTCAATTTTCAAAACACTGTTTACAGACTCCTGAAAAACGCCACTGGATATCAGGTTCACCAAAATAGCTTTTGAATAGCACTGTATAGTTTAAGCAGATATTTCCCATAGCAGGAGCTGATCTAGAAAATATTTTTAGGGAGGATCCATGAAATTACCCTCTAAAAAAAGTACTGGGGGTGGAATCCGGATTCATGTTCAGGTAGAAATACGTATCGGGGGAAGGAGGTATCGGCGATTGATGTTCAACAGTGGAGGGGGTCGTCCGCAAATTGAAAAGCGCATTAATTTTTTTTTTAAACTCGGTTATTTCTGATGGGGGAGGGCGGACCCTCAGGACACCTCCTCCTGGATCCGCCCTTACCCCCATAGCACTAGAAACTTGTCAGGTCAAGCAACTAGATATTTTTAGAAACTACTTGAAAATAAAATTACTTGAAACTTTAGTACTTGACTTGATTTTTTTATTGTTCTACAAGACGTGAGGTCAAGCATTATCAAACCTTTGACGCTTATGGGCTAATTATATTTTTGTTCTACTAAAGGCCTTCAGTGATACTTATTTGTACAAGATATTTTTTCTCGACACCTGCTTCGTCAGTGTCCATTGCAAGAGAATTTGATGTCAAGTCAAGCAACCACATGTAGCAAGCATACTTGAGTTCGGTCTTTGTATTTCTTTTTCCAACATCCTACACGTATTGATTTTCAAGAAAAAATATCGATAGGTTCCAAAGACGAAAAGATGGTCTTTATATTCAAGCGTGCATCTTTCCATAACGTAAAGTTTGGAAACAATCTTTGTACGTAAAAAATCTATTTTAGGATAACATCCTCGGCTTGCTCTTCATTTCCTGTCAGTCACCCTCCAACTTTTATCATCAGTTTCTTGAGATCTAGTAATGTATCCTGATATTTTATTCATGAGGCGTCCGAAATTCCGGAAGACTATTCGTATAATAAGATTTTCAAAGGGTCTTCGGTCGTATGTGCGTATTTTCCAAATCAATCCTTATTTGTTTGTGTTGTGTTTGATCATGTGAATACCGTTATTCGTATCAAGATGGTGGGGGAATATCGCTATGTCGTGAGGAATTTGGGGATAAAAAGTTATCTCGATAAATGAAAACACAATGGATTAATATCCATGTTTTCTTCATACAGACAACAAAAAATGGCGTCAAGTAGATTCACTCTATACTTCGTACGCCCTCGTTGGAGGTTTCAAATAAAGGAGATGAGTCAAATCGTTTTAAAAGGTGGAATCAAATCATAACTAAGTAGGTTCACTTAGGTACGATGAATATTTGATCTCTACATATCAAAATATATAAAATTAATCATATCCATGACACTTGTAGAGGAAACATGCATAAATCGTTATGTCCAACAGGTGCATAATATTAGCAGTTTCTCAATAATAGATCTTTCACTGACGGCAATCTCTGAAACGTTGTAACACTATGTTCCAACAATTTTTATTTTTTATCCGTAATTCCGCCGCCACTGAAGCAATCTTCAAAATCTTTTTTTTTTTTTGCTTTAGGACCAGGCCATGCAGCCAGAAACTAGGTTGTATATTTATATTTCAAATTATGGACAAACACACGACGTCACAACATCCATGGCGAAGGCGAGATTCGAACTCGCGGCCCGGCCGGCCGGCTGATCAGTAGCACGACACTCTGACCCGCGCGGCCAACCGAGGTCCCTCTTCAAAATCTTCGACTACCTAGCCGGTGGGAGTATTGAATTAGCGATAATCCGCTTTACACAAGTTCGTGTTTCTTATATATGCCGGTTTACCCGTCCGTGTCTGAATATTAATGCGTAATAACTACTGAGTCAATCTACTTGACGAAATGTTCAGAGAACCATCATATACTGAGTAATACAAATTAAAGGCTAAGCGAAATGGGTGGGTACATTTAAGTATCATAAAATTTAGAAAAATATATGTTTAGGTATTTATAAAAACAACCAAGTCACTCCTACTACCCAAATATTCCTCAAATACAGGGTGTAGTTATGATAGTCATTATTGAAATGGGTGATAGAGGGGGTTAAAAGCAGCAAAAAGTTTCATATAACATGGGGGTCGAAACTGCATTTTTTTAGAGAAAAGCGACTTTAAAGTAAAATAAAATCTGACAACGCCGCAATACCTGACGCAAATTACGACGGATCGCAGTGTAAATAAAGATGGAGTTTGTTATTTTTGGCTCTTGAGTGTTATTTCATTATTTGATAATATACTCGTAAAATACAAACAATTAAAAATTACCACTAACTGTCGCAGCGCTTCACCTGGTGTGTGAAAGTTTATTGAACGTATTAAAAAAATCCTCTTATAAATAGGGAACACAATTTTGATACATTGTTTTTCTTTTTAAAACCCACAGTGCACTTTTTTATATTTAAAGGTGTTCATAATGTCGTCCTCCACTTTCCACACAAGCTTCATTACGACGAACCCCGTTTCTTCTTACTCTAGGTCCTCGAAGTTGTCCATTTATTATTTCAGCCGCATTAAAAAGTTTTTCGCGAAGTTGTGCTTCAGTTGTTATTGGACCAGCTCCATAAACCATCCCTTTAAGTTCTCCCCAATACCAAAAATCCATCGGATTGAGGTCAGGAGATCTTGCTGGCCATTTTCGAGGATCAGGAGCATTTCGACCGATCCAGCGATTTGGATAATGTACATTCAAATACTGAATGACGCCTCTAAAAATGTGTGCTGGTGCCCGTCATGAAGAAACCACAAATTCTGTCTCCGTTGTAATGGCATGTTGTCTAAGGTGTGTTCCAAAAGTTCTGGTAGATTATTGGCTTGAAAGCTAAGGTATCCTTCTCCTGACAACTTTGGGGGTAACTCGAAAGGGCCAATTACCTGATCGTCAAGAATACCAGCCCAAATATTTATTTTAAAACGTTATTGGAAAATGGCCTTCACGAATGGTATGAGGATTTTCTTGGGCCCACGTGCGAGTAATATGGAAATTTAATATCCCGTCTCGCGTAAAAGTACATTCATTATGCAAAAACCACTGACAGAATGTTAGTCTGCGAGGGTAGTCTTCTGGTAACAAGGCTTGCACTCGTTGTACATGGTAGGGATAAAGCAAATTTTCCCGTAAGATTCTATGGACTATGGTATGCGATAGTCCTACGCGGCGGCCTAATTCCCGAGTGCTGATATCTGCATTGATTTCCACGATATTTAAAATTTGTTCCTCCTGCTCTACAGTAACCTGTCTTTCACGAGTGCGAATATTAGTGGGCTGAACACTTCCTGTATCTCAAAGTCTTTGGTACACTTGCACAAATGTCCTTCTGTCTGGGTGCACCCGTTGGCGAAATATGTCGCGATA